GGGGTTTTTTTTTTTTTTTTTTTTGCTATAGGGCCTGTGGGCTCACCAGAGACCAGAGAGACAGAGACACAGAAAGCGAGAAATTGCCCCCCAGGGGGGATGGCCACACTGCAATCCCTTCTCCTCCATTCTCCTCTGGGGATCTTGGGCATGCACGCACACGCGCCTGGCGTGTGTTTAAGCCACGGGGTCTGGGACTCAAACTGCAGTCGACTACGTGGGAGTCCAGCGACATAGCCATTACGCACTAACTGCTGGTCCCATGGGTGTTGGAGATCTTTAAGAGCCTTGTGGGGTACTCCTGAGGAAGCTGGAGGTGGAAAGAGGGCTCAAAGAGGGGACAGCCCCCTGCCGAGTTCTGCCCTTCAGGGATGGTGTCTGCAGGGACCCAAAATCCACCCACTTCTTGTGCTCACTGTCAGGCAGCAAATTTTGCATAGAAAACATTTCTGATCCCCCAGCCTCGCTCCTGGGCCCTGACCTGGCTGGGGATGTAGCTCTTTTACACCCCCTCTCTATACACATTTTGGGGCGGGTCGGTAAATCTGAGCCACCCCTAATCGTAGAGGGAGGCGGGGTAGGGTGTGTCCAGAGCCTGGTAAAATCCCCAGCGTGAGTTGAGGACAGGGGCGCGATGGGCGCGCTGGGGGCCCTGTGCGCAGTCGTGCTGCTCTGCGCACTTGCCCTCGGCCTGGGTCAGCGTCCCGTCGCTCTGAGCTGCGCGGCCGGCCGCGTCCTGTGCGGAAAGGGGACGGACACACGCTGCTGCCGCTCGTGTGTTCCAGGTAAGGCGAGGCGCGGGGAGCCCCGGATCTGCGGACGGCAGCGCGTAGCCCCCTCGCGGTGCCCAGACCGGCCGCTGTTGCCTAAGGAGAGTCGGCACTGGGCAGAGGCGGGCCGATGGGCAAGTGTTTGAATCTAAAGCTGTCAGTCCCGGCACAATCGCGGAGTGAAAGGAAAGAGCGCCCCGCTCAGCTGGCAGTGACCCAAAGGGGCAGGGAGCAGAAGAGTCGGGGAAGGCACGCGGGAGCCTCCCCAAAGAGGGATCTGGAGTCTCTAGACGAAGGGGGGCTGTTCCGGGTCCTGCGGGGTGGGTCCAGTCCAGCCCTTGGCCATCACCGCCACCTCCTCCCCCCCCCCTGCCGCTGCCCTGCAGCTTGTGGCTGAGGGGCAGCTGACACGGGCCAGTCTGGAAACAAAGATCACAAGGAAAACATCCAGAGCCTCACCCTGCCAGGTCCTGGTAGGTGGGAAGGGGAGGCTCTGAGGGCCCCATGTCTCAGAGTGGCTGGTGTGGGGAACGGCAGTGCAGTGAGGGACAGGCAGCTTCCAAGGTATTCATGGTCTTAGCGAGGGGTAGGACCTAGTGAAAGGCAGGACATAGGTCCCCAGGGAGCCCCAGGTGACTCCCACGCCCACCAGGGGCAGCTCCTGGTTGCATGTGTGGTCATGGCCATCCTAGCTGTGAGCAGCTTTAGAGCAATGGGGGGAGGGTCAGCCAGGCCAAGGGTTCTGCCCCCTGGGCTGACCTAGG